GACAGTCCCCTCGGTGGGTTAGAGAACTCACCTTCCCACACTTCAGAGTTGCTGGAGGGAAGGTCGAGGACCTCCTACCTCACAGTGCTCTGAGGGCCAGCAAGCCTAGGGACTCCAGCTTGAGGCTCTAAAGGGCTGTGACACAGCCTCTCTGCCTGCCAGCCCCACCCCAGTGCAGCCTGCAGAGGGTAGAGGAGAGGAGCTATGTGGCCAAGGCACTGAGTCATTGAGGAGCACGAAGGACCTGGCCCTTCTGGGCATTTCTCCTGGGGCTGTCTGTCCTTCCCCAGCCTGTGGAATCTACAGTCCCAATCAAGACCCAGGCCAGTTTCTGCAAGCACAGGAGGAGAAGGGAAACCAGTGAAGATTTCATTGCTATGTATCAGGCCAATGATGGCTGCTCAGCGATAGCGCTGCTTTGCTACAAACACATGATTGCGACACTGACAAACTGCCACCAGGAAAAACCCCAAACCCACTGATCCCACAAAGAGGGCAGAAAAGGAAGGCTTCCTGTTGAAGGAGAAATACAAATGTGTATGTGCCGGTTTGCCTCTCGACATTACTGTGGAGGCATTCACATGCCTGTCTATTTGACATTATTAGGAGAGATCCCCCGACAGAAGAACTTAAGGTCAAGCTTTATAAAGATAACCAAGGACATCTTAAAGGAGACAGGCTTTGCAATCATTGGAAGAGGGAAGCTGTGGATCTTGCATTCATGCTTTTGGATGAAGACGACATTAGAAACTGCACATTGCAGGTGGAGGTGGCCAAGTTTCAATGGAATAGGAAATAAGAGGCTTCCGGAAGGAAGTGCAGGAACTACGGGAGGGAGCTGTCTCTACAGCAGAAGCGACCACGCTGCGGACATCCAACGCCACTGGCGAGTTGTCCTCATCAAATACATTGCATTCTGTGGATTTTGTGGATGGCCAGAGAAGACCTTCAAGTAGACTTAAGTTCAGATCAACTCGGAGGCTCCTTCTCTTTGACACTCGGGCTGTAGAAGCAGCTGCCCCTTGTATTCAAACCTTTGATGGACAGTGCTTTGGATGATACGCTTGAGCAGACTCCAAGGCTGAGAGGACAGGCGGCTTCCTTCAGTGTCCCTGAGACCAACACATTTAGTGCTCTGATTCCACAGAGGGGAACTTTGGGTGGTGCTGGGGGCATTGAGAAAGAAGGCCCTTGGGCCCAGGCAGCAGCGCTGCCCTCAGTAGTGACGGTGAGGAGGAGGAGAAGGCGAAAGAGGAGGATACGATGATGAAGATGATATTTAATCCCTTCAACTTGGTTTTAGGGAAGTTCCTTCATCTGCATGTGACCATGTGTCAGGGTAATTGTTAATAGTGTTACACGAACAGGTACACAGTGGTACAATGCCATCAGACTAAAAATTTTTAAAGTTTTACATTTTCATTATAACTGGCAATTAATGATTTTATTTATTTATTTGAGAAGGTTTTATTCAGTCACCGAAGGCTGGAGTCCAGTGGTGTGATTTCAGCTCCCAGCAACCTTCACCTCCCCATCTCAAGGGATTCTTTCACCTTAGCCTCCTGTGTACCTGGGTATGCAAGCGTGCACTGCCACACCTGGCTCATTTTGTGTGTGTGTATTTTTTTAGAGATGGGGTTTCGTCATGTTGCCCAGGCTGGTCTCAAACTCCTGAAGTCAAGCAATCTGACCGCCTTGGCCTCCCAAAGTACTGGGATTACAGGTGAGAGCCAACACACCTCGTTATCTTAAAAAGAGTCTTGCTCTGTCATCCAGGCTGGAATGAAGTGACATAGTCATGGCTTACTGCAGCCTCGAACTCCTGGGCTCAAGTGATCCTCTTGAGCTTCAGCCTCCTTAGTAGTTCAGCCTGCTTCAGCCTCCTGAGTAGCTGGAATTACAGGTGTGTGCCACCATGCCTAGTTAATGTATTTTTTTATTTTTTGTGGAGATGGGGGTCTCGCTATATTGCCCAGGCTGGTCTTGAACTCCTGGTCTCAAATAGTTGTCCCATCTCAGCCTCCCAAAGTGCTGGGATTACAGGCATGATCCATGGTGCCAGCCAATGATTTTTAAACATTTTAAATAAAGAAATTTTTTAATGTGTCACTTAACAAAAGAGATACATTCTGAGAAATTCATAATTAGGTGATTTCGCACTTACACAAACCTAGATGGTACAGCCTACTACACAGGTTTTATGGTACAGCCTACTGCTCTTGGCTATAACCTGTAGAGAGATTGTTGTACTGAATACTGTAGGCAACTGTAACACAATTATAGGTACTTGTGTATCTAAACACAGAATACGTGCGGTAAAAACACAGTATTAGTCCAGATGCAGGGGGCTCATGCCTGTAATCTCAGCACTTGGGGAAGTTGAGGTGGGTGGACTGCTTGAGACCGGGAGTTCAAGACCAGCCTGGGCAACATAATGAGATCCTGTCTCTAAAACAATTAAAATAATCAGCCAGGCGCGGTGGCTCAAGCCTGTAATCCCAGCACTTTGGGAGGCCGAGGTGGGTGGATCACGAGGTCAAGAGATCGAGACCATCGTGGTCAACATGGTGAAATCCCGTCTCTACTAAAAATACAAAAAATTAGCTGGGCATGGTGGCGTGTGCCTGTAATCCCAGCTACTCAGGAGGCTGAGGCAGGAGAATTGCCTGAAGCCAGGAGGCAGAGGTTGCGGTGAGCCGACATCGCGCCATTGCACTCCAGCCTGGGCAACAAGAGCGAAACTCCGTCTCAAAAAAATAAATGAATAAATAAATAATAAATAAATAAATAAATTAAATAATCAGCCAGGTGTGGTGATATGTGCCTGTAGTCCTGGCTACTAGGGAGGCTGAGGCAGGAGGATCACTTGACCCCAGTGAGCTATGATTATACCACTGCACCCAGCTGGGGCAACAGAGTGAGACCTCATCTATAAAAATAATAAATAAATCTTAATATAAATAATTTTTAGTAAATAAAATAAAATATGGTATTATAATCTTAGGGGACAACTGTCGTCCATGCAGTCCTTTACTGATTGAAACATCATCATGCAACACATAACTATATATGTTCATTGGCTGTCCAACTAAAACTTCATAGTCCTAATGTAAAGTTAAAAAAACAAGACAAAGTAGAAAATTAAGAAACAGGTCCAAACATAGCAATAAAACAATAGCTATGAATAGATTAAATTTTCCTATGAAAAAATAGAAACTCTTGGCCGGGTATGGTGGCTCATGCCTGTAATCCCAGCACTTTGGGAGGCTGAGGTGGGCAGATCATGAGGTCAGGAATTCAAGACCAGCCTGGTCATCATGGTGAAACCCCGTCTCTACTAAAAATACAAAAATTAGCCGGTCATGGTGGCAGGTGCCTGCAATCCCAGCTACTTGGGAGGCTCAGGCAGGAGAATTGCTTGAATCTGGGAGGCAGAGGTTACAGTGAGCCAAGATCGTGCCATTGCACTCCAGTCTGAGCAACAAGAGCAAGACTCCATCTCAATAGGGAAAAAAAAAGAAAAGAAAAAATAGAAACTCTCATGCTGAGTTATAAAAACTAGCAAATCCAGCTCTACGCTCAGAGAATTATCAGAAAATAAAATTACATGAAGCTTGAATACAGAGAGATGGAACAATACTAGACAGATATTAAAGAAAATCTGGGCCAGGTGTGATGGCTCAGGCCTGTAGTCCCAGCACTTTGGGAGGCTAAGGTTGGGTGGATTACTTGAGACAAGGGGTTTGAGACCAGCCTGGGCAACATGGTGAGACTCTGTCTCTTTAAGAAAGAAACAAAAAGAAGAAAAGAAAAGAAAATCTCAGTGAATGGTGGTCGGAATAGAAATCAACATAACAAGCTTATCATTGAAATATTTGATCTGTCTTTATACAATTATGAAGACACTCATTCATGTACTTCATTAAATATATCTGGTTTGCTAAAAATAGAATTATCCTTCGACCCAGCAATCCCATTACTGAGTATCTAACTAAAGAAGAAAAAAATCATTCTGCCAAAAGATGCCTGCCCTTGTATGTTCGTCACAGCACTATTTACAGTAGCAATGACATGGAATCAACCCAGGTGCTCATCAACAGTAGACTGGATAAAGAAAGGGTACATAAACACCATGGAATACTATGCAGCCATTAAAAAAACCCATGAAATCCTGTCCTTTGCAGCAATGTGGATGCAGCTGGAGGCCATTATCCTAAATGAATTAACACAGAAACAAAACCAAATTCCCCATGTTCTGACATGTAAGTGGGAACTAAACACTGGGCACACAGGAGTAGAAAAGTTCCTCTTCAAAGTTTCCTTTCTTGTTAAAGAATAAATTTACAAATAACTCTTTGTTAAGCTCTATCCTAAATAGCTGTTAGACATGCCATGCTTATAGGCATGTGGTTTATTCTATGTCCTTGTACTTTGACCAAAATATCTGTGCTCACAGGCATGTCCCAGCTTGCAGCCTATGCGCCTTACCTGTTTAAAAAAGTTTTAAGTTATTAGCCAATTAGGTTTTAGTTTAAATTGTGAGGTCTGGCTCCAACCAAGAGATCAGACACAGTAGTAAGGGCAACCCCAAATGCGTAAGGGATGAGTATGTCTGCTTTTCCTTTGTTCATTGTACTCTCATGGCAAGACGGCTATCAAGGGTACCCTTCCTGCAGTGCGGGAAGTAAAAATTGCTTTGCTGAGAGATCTGTTGTCTCAGTGCTAATTTTTCTTTGCGGCACCCAGCATCTGTTTCCAACAGGGGCGTAAAGGTGGGATCAGTAGACACTGGGAATCCCAAAGTGGGAATGAAGAGAGGAAAGGAAGTGTTGAAAAACTATCTACTGGGAACTATACTCACTATTTAGATGATGAGATCAATAGAAGCCCAACCCCCAGCACCACACAGTATACCCCTGAAACAGTAGTGCCCATTTACTCCTTACAGCTAAAATTAACAACAACAACAACAACAAGCAAAAAGAAAGAAACAAGTATCTCCAGGTAGTTGTGTTGTAATTTTATTTCATGACCACACCATCTTCTCTCTGCCTGCACCTGGGTCTCCTGGTGTGCTGCTTACATGATGTCCACGTGCCACAGAGTTATTGCCCAAAGTACCAGGGGACTGTGCAGGGGATGGGATCCTCCTTCCAGATGGTCTGCAGCCTCTGGGCCCACGCAGCCACCATCCCCTTTCTTTCTTCTTCAGATGCAATTTCAGGAGCAAAATTGATCTGAGGGGCAAGGACTTTAAATCCACAGAAGTGTAATGCGCCATGCTAAAGCCACAAGAGAAGGAAAGAACTCATGAGAAACTTCACCTGTTACATACCATTCGGTTAAATGATTTAAGGGGAGAAATGGTGTGAAACAACCCTTCAAAAAATCATGAAACAACCTTAATGTTACGAGGCAATTGAAAGCTAAACCTCCCTGTAGCTTTAGGATGCAAGCCTTGCATAAGTGTGGTGAAGAACCTGGCGCTCCTGGAATTTCCAAGCTCTATTTTTATAGTTGCAATTAACCTACAATCTTCGCAACTGATTCAGACACCAAACATTATAGTTCTGCTTGACTGGGGAAATTATGGTACGTTCACACTATAGCTTATTCCAGAATGAGGTTATTCCAGCTATAATGTGTACCATGGAAGTTTGTTCAAGATACCTGTTAAATGAAAACAGCAAAAAATTGTAGGCAGTATTTATGTTATACCGTTTATGCAAAAGAGCAGTAAACATAATAAACCTAATAATAAAAATTACCTACGTGAGAAAATATATGGGCCCTAAGAAAACAAATTGAATTATTTAAAGTGATTCTTTCTGAGGTGCATGTTTCCAGGGGGAATTAAAGGGACTTTCTCTTTTATATTTTATATGTCTCATTTTTTTTTGCTCTAAAACATACCTCTGCAAACTGAAAAAAATATAATTTTTTTTTCAAAATCAAGAAGAATTTGAACTTGGCTAATGACATGTCAGAGACCGGTTGGCCTGTGAAGAAGCAAGGTCAGGCTTGTAAATGATCATTTCCTTCAGTAGACTATCAGTAATTGATGAGAATCACATACTTTCTCCTTTCAAAGGGGACTACTTTTTTTCCTAGAAATATCACACTCAACCCTCTGAGTTACTTTCTTTAAAACCCACACCCACACCCGGGCCTGCCCTGTCAGGTGGGAAGTGAGAGGCCCACACACCACTTTCTCCTTTTTTTTTTCTCAGACAACATGGCTTTATTTATTTATTTTTTTTTAAAATTTACTTATTTATTTATTTTTGAGGTGAATTCTCTCTCTGTTGCCCAGGCTCGAGTGCAGTGGCACAATCTCGGCTCACTGCAACCTCTGTCTCTCGGCTTCAAGCGATTCTCCTGCCTCAGCCTCCCCAGTAGCTGGGACTGCAGGCGTGTACCACCACACCAGCTGATCATAGTATTTTTAGGAGAGACAGAGTTTTGCCATGTTGGCCAGGCTGGTCTTGAACTCCTGACCTCAGGTGATCTGCCCACCTCGGCCTCCCAAAGTACTGGGATTACAGGTGTGAGCCACTGCACCTGGCCTCAGACAACATGACTTTATTACTGGAAACTAAGAAAAAATTATGATTAGCAGGAGGAAACAGCAAATGGCCTGGGTAAAAAACCAATATTCAGCAATCAATAGCTTTCACCAATCCAAAGAACTTTTAGAAGACGTAATTGAAGACAAAATCCTATTTATAATCGCAAATAACAACAAAAGCAAGGAATGAACTTAGCCAACGTGCACCGCCTATGGGAAGAAAAAATCTTCGTGTTTTGAAAGGACATAATTGAATTAATTTCTCTGATATATGAAGAGTGCTGACAAATAAGAGTATTAAAAAATACCAACAACCCAGTAAGACATCGGCAAGGCATGCATACCTAAAGAGAGCTCACGGGAAAGGGGCAATGTGTACATTTTCCCAGCAAGCTCCCTACCCCTCAAGAACGAGCTCTCCTCCTGCCTCGACAATCCCCTCCCCGTTAAACAAACTGTCCCTTAGGTTTCTGGATTCCCTGGAGTCCCTGACCTGGAGTCTGCTCCCCACACCCTCCCTCTGCCACCCCTCACCAGGGGTTCCTTTCCCAGACACCCCAGCACATTGGAACTGCTCTGCCCACCACCTTCTCTTTGGCAGACAGCCACTACTCGGCCATCTCTCAGGCCCAGAGGAACTCACGCAGGCAGCAAGGGTTCCCCTGGGGAAGCAGGCCTGGGCAGAGCCTGGGTAATGGGACGTGGGTGTGGACTGGCTCCATAGGCCCCTTGTCTGTGCAAGGGTCGGCATGGCCAGCAGAGGCCAGCATGGGGCCATCAGAATGCAGGGCCTGGGGACCACTTGCCAGCATCTAAGGGCAGTGCTGCCCTCACCAAGCACTGCCAGAGCCATGTGGGCAGCCTCCACCTGCACCGATCACAACAGGGCCACCTCGGGGCCACTCTGCTGACCAAGAGCAGACATCAGGATAAGCAGGTTTGGCTTGGCTTCCGCCCAAACTATATCAAAAGCTGTAATGGGGGCACGTTTTCCCTATTGGTCAAGCTTTTCAAATCTGTCAAGTAAAAAACTGAAAAGAGGCAAAGTGTTATGATTTTCTGTATCCAGGAGAGTCAAAATGGTGTGGGGCATCACGCTTACATCCCATCTCATCTCACCCCTCGGGGAGCTGAGAGCGTGTATGTGTGTGCATGTGTTTGTGCATGTGTGCATGTGCCAACAAGCAAGGGAGCTACTCGCAGCTGGTCTACCTGGAGTGGCCACAGGAAGTATCGAAAATCTCCACTGACTCCTGTCTTCGTGAACATGTCGGCCGTGCCTCCTGTGGTTATGGAAAGGAGCGCTAGTTTACCCTGCAGGGGAGAAAGCAGATGCATTTGTGTGGACTCCAGAAGAGGACAGAAATGCTGGCGTGCCTCCAGCGCACAGGCTCAGCACAGCCAGCAGAGAGCCTGTGTGTGGGCAGCCTCCAGGGGTGGACGAATGTAACACTTCCATCCACAGGTGATGACGACATCCCAACAGGAGGAGACAATCCAAGTGAATGTCCCATCTACAGGTGACAATGACATCCCAACAGGAGGAGGAGACAAGTGACAGTGCCATCCCAACAGGAGGAGGAGACAATCCAAGTGAATAGAGCATGTAAGCTCTAACATGCCCAGGTTGCTGGCGGAAACCAGGTTTCCATGATGCCACGTGTGACGATATAGCTGAGGTACTGACCGTAGGACAAGGTTCCCAGCACACAGGGCCGCTCAGTAAGTGGTAGGACCATTCATGGTCCAAGACAGATCTTGGTTACTCAGTATGTTTCCCTTACATGCATTTATTTTCTGAGGCTTTTAGAATTTAAAAATCATTCCCTTTTTTTTTTTTTTTTTTTTTTTTTTTTGAGATGGAGTCTCGCTCTGTCGCCTAGGCTGGAGTGCAATGAAGCGATCTTGGTTCACTGCAAACTCCACCTCCCAGGTTCAAGTGAGTCTCCTGCCTCAGCCTCCCAAGTAGCTGGGACTACAGCTGCCTGTCACCACTCCTAGCTGATTTTTGTATTTTTAGTCAAGAGGGGGTTTCACCATGTTGGCCAGGCTGGTCTTGAACTCCTGACCTCAAGTGATCCTCCTGCCTCGGCCTCCCAAAGGGCTGGGATGACAGGCATGAGCCACCACGCCCAGCCTTAAAAATCATTCTTTTAGTAAGAAGTTCATAGCTACTGCGTGTTGCACATCTAGCAGGTTCCAAGCCCTCCTCACCCTGCCATGTGGGTGTCGCATGATCTTGTCTCACAGCAGGAACATGATCCTCAGGGGGGTGAACCTGTGCCGGGCCAGGGCTGGACTCTGCACCATGAAGGAGATGCTCTCTCTGGGGCCAGGGCTGGCCACCGAGTTGCCCACGTAAAGTTGCCCAGGTTGCCCGTCACCTGACACCTGGCCCACTCCCTTGTTTGCCATGCATATAATATGCCGAGGATGGGTCTGCAGCCCCACTAGACAAAAAGTTCCATGACCAAAAATGATGCTGTGTTCACCCGTGTGCAGCACATGGTGCTCTGTATATAGTGGGTGCTCTATCAATATTTGCCAAGGAAGAAAAAGCAAACTAGAAATGTAGCTTGATAGAAGACGCATGCCTCCGTCCCCTCACTACAACTATCCACAGTGATCCTTATCGAAGAGCACATACCTGGAGCAAACCGGAATCATAGAATCCTGGGATGTCGAAGGCAAAGCCTTGGCACAGCACCCTATCCATCCAGCCCTTCAGGATGGCCGGCACGCTGAACCAGTACAGCGGAAACTGTGGGCGGCAAGAGCAAACAGAAACTGAGGTTTCCTAGTTTAGTCTATCTGGTGATTTGAAATGAAGCCCACAGCCGTCCTCTTCCCTGGCAGCTGGGCAGGTGAGGCTAACCCATGTGGTCAGCTCTGAAAGGTACAGTATGGACATGAGACAAGAACAGAGTTGACAGTGGTCCTTGTTGCTGTTATAGGTAGCTCTGCATCCCACATTGACAGCCCCTGATGCTGGCCCTGGACAGGCAGAGAGGGGATAAGGAGCTCTGCGTGACACTGGCTGGGGAGCAGCAATCTGTGACCATGCCAATCAAAAGGAAGGGTGTGGAAAAGCGTGCCCCTTCCCATGTTTGGGGGGTGTTGTTAGCATCTAGGATTCAGACTGAACCAGGTGCTGAGCAGCTATGGATTCTGGCACCAACTAAGGTCATATGTGTGGATTCCGTAGACCAGCAGTAAGACCTCCCTATCGCATAAATGCCCTAACATTACATCCAGTGTTACCACCTGGGACGGGAATTAAACATAGGGAATCATCTGTTAGCAAAGCAGGAAGCCAATGTCTTGTGTACTTTCAATATAAAACAAACTCAGGACTTGGCATTGAAACCCAAGCTCCACAACCTGCCTCTGTGACACTGGCAAGTTACTTGGTCTCCTTGTGCCTCCTTTTCCCGATTCCTCAAATAGGGCTGCTAATAGCTCGCAGCTTACAGCATCCTGGTGAGGACACATCACAGTGCCCAAAGTCAATGCTCGGTGAGTGGCGGGCTCTGATATTAGTAGTATAGTAGTGGGGAATGAAATTTTTATTAATGTTGAATAAAAGAAAACCTTATAATGCAGACCCTATGGACAAAGTATTAGAAAAAAAGGGGAAGGCAGGGAAACGGAGGGAAATGAAGTGAAACCAAAGAAAGGCCATTATAGAAAGGCCAGATCTCAGCCTACCCAACCACCTGGTTATGGGAGTGGAGTGGGTGTTGGGAGGAGAAGTGGGCTCCACATGGCTGGCTGACCCGAGGAAGACAGGAGATGCAGAGGAGAGAGCTGAGCCTGATTCTGCTGGGACCATGCACCCCAGGATACAGGCCCATTGTACTGGCATGGTATTAAGGCATGGATGATAAACCACATGGTCACCTAGTTCTGAAGACTGTGAATCCACCCACCTGTAATTCGGACAAAGAACATCCTGCACATCGGCCACATTAGCAGTGCAAGGTGACTGAGTAAAGAAAGGGCTGGTGGGCCGGTGCGGTGGCTCACGCCTGTAATCCCAGCACTTCCGGAAGCTGAAGCCAGCAGATCACCGGAGGTCGGGAGTTCGAGATCAGCCTGACCAACATGGAGAAACCCTGTCTCTACAAAAATTACACACACACACACACACACACACACACACACACACAAGTTAGCCAGGCGTGGTAGCACATGCCTGTAATTCCAGCTACTCAGAAGGTTGAGGTAGGACAATGGCTTTGACCCAGTAGGTGGAGGTTGAGCCAAGATTGTGCCACTGGACTCCAGCCCAGGTAACAAGAGCAAGACTCTGTTTCAAAAAACATGAAAGGGCTGGTGTCAGGAAGAGGTGTGCAGAGGCAAGCCTGGGCAGGGATGAGGCAGCTCTCTTCCAGCACATGCAGGTTGCTTTTATGAAGAGTTGGGGAATTCATCATTCTGGACATGTGGTTTTGTCTGGAAAGTGGTCACATGCCCTTCACCCCCTGCCTTGCACTCACACGGTGGGCTCATGAGAGCAATGCTCTCGTTCTCCCACCCACTCCCCATCCTCAAGCAGGGTTGAAAAATAGAAACAATCAGCCAGGCGCTGTGGCTCACGCCTATAATCCTAGCACTTTGAGAGGCTGAGGTGGGTGGATCACCTGAAGTCAGGAGTTCAAGACCAGCCTGGTCATCATGGTGAAACCCCATCTTTAAAAAAGAAAAGAAAAGAAAAATAGAAACAATCTGGACCAATCAGATCCCTTGTTTGGAAATTCTGGATCCAGGGGGTCCAGTCCCTGACATGCAGTGAGAGAAAACAGAAGCCAGAGGCAGAAAGGAGCAGATGGGAATCCAAAAATAAGATTCTTATTCTTATAAGAATAAGAGCTACAGCTCTGTCCTTGGCATCCAGGAGGCCCAAGTGACCAGAGCCCTTAGAATAGATTCCCCTTGCTTTCTAGTTGGACAGGAATTTCTGGTCACCCAACAATTCCCTCAAAGCTCGTGTGCATACTCTGCTGCCAGGCTTACAGTCACGGCTATGCAGACACATCTTCCTTGCAGTGGTGGGAAGTGGCCTGCTGAGTTAGCACTCCTGGAGGCTGTTTTGCGGGGCCAGTTCTCTCTGCAGTGACCTCATCTCCTTGTGAACCCAAATACAGGCAGGTGACTAGGCAGAAGGTGAAGCAACCACTGAGAGGATGGAACCTGGAGATTTTCCTATTGATGATCAGGATATCTAAGGCAGGATATTTAAGGAGCTGCGTTTGGCCTGATTTACCCTGATAAGCATTTGTGCAGAGAAATGTGGTTCTCAAGCAGCCCCAAAATGTCTCAGGGTGGGAACTGGAAGAGAAGGAACGCAACAAGCCTGGCAGGATTCAGAAGGTTCTTGGACCACTGGGCTAATAGAAAAATTCTTCATTCCTATTTACATGGCGGTCAGGGTTTTGAATGAGTGATATTGGCTGCATGGATGTCTTTACCCAATCAGGTAAAGTGTTTAAAGTAGTGTACAACTAGGTAAAGTGTTCAAAGTAGTGTTGTAACTAGGTGAAGTGTTGTAACTAGGTTACAACATTTGCCCAGTTGAAGAAGACGACCCAGGCATCTCAGATCAACTTCCCCTTTGACTATCACATTGCATTTCAACAGAAGAAAAGGCTGACTGACTGGCGCCTCCTGTTTCACCTTCCTGGAGGTGGCAGGCTGGGTCTTGGGGAAACTCTCCAGAAGGCACTATTTTTACTTAAAACAAGATCAAACCAGAAACTTATTCACGTGTGAGTCTTAAATCTGTAAGCTGGAACCCTTCCATATGTGATTCCTTAAGCTGTAACCTTTTCACATGTGAGTCCTAGAACTGTGATCCGGAACCCTTTCATATGTGATTCCTGAAACTGTAACCTTTTCACATGTGAGCCCCAAAACCGTAAACCGGAACGCTTTCATATGTGATTCCTGAAACTGTAAACAGAAACCTTTTCACGTGAGTCCTAAAACTGTAAACCGGAACCCTTTCATATGTGATTCCTGAAACTGTAAACCAAGACCTTTTTCATATGTGATTTCTAAAGCTATAAACCTAAGATTCTTCCACGTGTAATATCAAAAGTATAAGCCTATATAAAGGCAAAACCTTCCTTTGTTAGATGAGCCAAATTTGGACGGATAATTTCCTCAGCTCCCGGCTGTAATGATAAACTCTTTCCTCCTGTATTCAGTGTTCAGGAGATCCATTTCCTGCGGCCTTTCCTGCTACACAGTAAGTGTGCAACTGTGCTAAAATGATTAATTCCACTTCTAGAAGCAGCGCAAAACTCAAAGTCCAGAAAGCGTTTGTACATAGATGAGTCTGATTCAATATATTAATTAGAGAAAAACAAACCTGAAATATCACTAGATCAGCCTCCCGAACCTTTTTCTGCTCCTCAGTGATGTCGCCAAGCAGAGACCTTTTCTTGTAGGCTTCGTACATTTCCACTCCATAACTAAAAACCTCAGGATTAGAAAGTGCACCTGTGGAGGGGAAGAGGCCAAACATTCTCACTCTTAGGTGGACATCTACAGCCCATCCCCACCCTCCCGGTAGCCCTGTGTATACCGGACTCCTCAGAGCAAGTCAAAGACATTTGCTGCAGTCTGACCAGAAGCTGGACCCTGGGTCCAGACTAGGGAAAGAGAAAGAGTCTGGGAGGGCTAATGATTGAGCACTTCCTACCTAGCAGGTGCTGTGCTCCATATATATCAACTTTCTTCATAACAACTGGTGGGACTGGTGTGTTTCTCAATTTACCAGAGAGCAAACTGAGACCTAAGAGAGGGTGGATGTCTTGTTCAACACCAAACAGGTCTAAAAAAATAAACTCTACATTTTAATGTCATGCCCACCCCCACATTTTTGAGTATTTGTGTCTCAATTTACATATTTTATATTGCTTATCACTAGCTCTTAACAGGTCACCATAGTGATTATTGTTTTTGATAGATTTTTCTGTTAGACTTCCTACTAGGATGAGTGGATTGCACGCAGTTACAGCATTAGAGTCTTCTGTGTGCTTACTTTTACCAGTAGTACCACCACCAGACCCATATTATAAGAAATGCTAAAGGGAATTCTTCAATACGAAAGAAAAACACTAACGTGCAAAAAGAAAACATTTGAAGATATAAATGTTTAAAATAGCATTTTTTTTTTTAACTTTTTTTTTTTCTTTTTTTTGAGATGGAGTTTCGCTCTTGTTACCCAGGCTGGAGTACAATGGCGTGATCTCAGCTCACCGCAACCTCTGCCTCCTGGGTTCAGGCAATTCTCCTGCCTCAACCTCCTGAGTAGCTGGGATTACAGGCACGCACCACCATGCCCAGCTAATTTTTTGTATTTTTAGTAGAGACGGGGTTTCACCATGTTGACCAGGATGGTCTCGATCTCTTGACCTCGTGATCCACCCGCCTCGGTCTCCCAAAGTGCTGGGATTATAGGCGTGAGCCACCGCGCCCGGCCTAAAATAGCATTTTTAAGGAAATTCACTAATCTTTGTTAAATTTATCTGATACATTTCTGAATTGCTTTTCTGTGTCATCTTGAAGATTAGCGAATCTCCTTAAAAATGCCATTTTAAATTCTTAGTCAGAGAGCCCAAACAGAGCCGTCTCACTAGATTCAGTCACTGGATCCTTGCTTTGTCTGTCTGGAGAGGTCACTGTTCCCTGTTTACTGTTGTTTCTTGTGGATGACATCTATTTATTTCAGTCCTTTATGTCTGACTTGTTTTCATTTTCATTACATATATTTGCTTAGAAAGTCTTCGCAATTTTCCCATTAAATTTCTTTTTTTTTTTTCCCTCTCTACTAAGCCACTGCCTCCTTTTCGGCACTAGATGGTGGCTTATGCCCAGGTTTACCTCAGCTGTGGTAACTAATCAGAGTGCTGCCAGTCCTGAGTATGAGAGGTTCCAAAGGGAATAGCGTGGTAAGTGTGGGAAGGCTGGGTGGCAGTTCATGCCCAGGGGACCTGCTGAATGTACCTCCTGCAGAGCGGTGCTGCTGAACAACCACTCTGGTTTGGCATCCGCTTTAGCTAATTTACAGATCAGAGTTTTCAGGGCTAGGGATGATACTCCCATCTCCCTCCATCATCTCTGGCTGTCGTCAGGTATAATTTCTCCCTTTAGGCACTCCTGATGCTTCTCTGGGGTTCAGGCAGGAAAAGGTCTTCTTCCAGTGAACTCAAGAAAATTGGGAAGCGGACGGTCCACATTGACCTATTTTTCCACGGTAGAAACTGTGATTTGGGAGGAAACTTCCTACACAGTTGGTGCCGGGTCGTTTGTGAGGAGATCGGTTGTGGATATGAAAGTGCAATTCTCTTACCATCTGCTTGGAGTTTTTTCACTTGTATGTGCTCTTGGGAACTATTTCATCCTCATATTTGACTTCTTGGATATTGCTAGAGATAACCTCAGTGCTATGTATTTGTTTTTGTTTTTTCTGCGGAAGAAAGTGAAGCTAGCTTGCTTCTACCATGCCGTTTTGCAGCTGGAAGTCATTTTTTAAAGTAAAAAGCACAAGGATAGTTTTTACAGATAGAGCATTGATCACATGACTCACCAGTGATATCTTTCCTGGTGGCCCTCGGCTCAAAGTTCATGGCGTATAAATCAGACACTGTGACTGTGCAGCCCTGCCTGCTCAGTTCATCTACAGTCACATTCTTCAAGGATCCGTTGAAAGACCTGGGTTCCTGGTGCGCATAGACAATTAGTACCTTCTTCCCTAAATCGGGATAAAAAAACAGTTCCTCTTGAAGAGCAACTTCTCTCAGTCAAATTAAATGAAGACTAAGATGAAAATGGAATGTTTAGGTGCATCACAGTAATTGAAGCTAAGAAATACCAAACTCACATGTACCCCAAAACCTAAAATGCAATAAAAAAAAAAAAAAGGAAAAAAAAAAAAAAAAAGAAAAAAGAAATACCAAACTTTCTTTTCTTCCTCTCTCTCTTTTTTTTTTTTCTTTTTTGAGACAGTCTCGGTATCGCCCAGACTGGAGTGCAGTGGCACAATCTCAGCTCACTGCAACCTCTGCCTTCTGGGTTCAAGCGATTCGAATGCCTCAGCCTCCTGAGTAGCTAGGACTACAGGTGTGTGCCACCCCGCCCAGCTAATTTTTTGTATTTTTAGTGGAGATGGGGTTTTGCCATGTTGGCCAGGCTGATCTTGAATTCCTGGCCTCAAGTGATCCACCCGCCTTGGCCTCTCAAAGTGCTGGGATTACAGGCATGAGCCAGCATGCTTGGCCAGAAACACCAAACTTTTTAATAGGTGGCAATTTAAAGTAATGGGCATTTAAAAAATCAAGTTATTCATAGCTCAACATCACTTTGGATTACTAACATACAAAAATACAATGGGTCAAATTACGTCTCCTCAAAAATACCACCACTATCTCCTTTAAAAAACAACTTATTTTGTTATCTCCCATGAGAAGGTTTAGACCAGCTCCTTAACACCAAAATAAAGAACTGCTGGAATTAATCTTCCATGCTAACTCTACGTTTGCAGGCATTAGCTACAGGCACCTTTTGGTGTGGTACAGTTCTGCTTCCATCTCCCCCATGTTCATCAAAATCTGACACTTAAACAAAGCATAAGGAATCAGACCCGCTGGTCTCGAGGGAAGGCAGGGCCACATGGAGCCCACCTTCCTGCGGTGACGCTGATGACGAAGAGGACTCTAGAAAGAATCATGCTGTGACATGGTAATTGCCCCATAAACTGCATACCTCGACTATACCTCGGCTTTCCATCAAAACTGCTCTCTGTAACCCTAATGTGACAGGCAAGCAGTCCAAACCCAAGCCATCTTGGCCCCTGCAACTTGTAATAAGTAACTAAGGTCTGTAACTTCTACCCTACCCAGACAATGTGTAAACTAACACTTATCTTGACTTTGGTGAAACACTTAAGTAACAATCAGAATGTCCAAAGCCCCTTGCCCTCACCCCTGCCCAGGATGTGGTTTACAGGCATATCAAGTCTTGACGCCCTCCTTTTGGGGCCACCGGTCAGAGAGATGTGAGTCCTCCAGGGCCACTGGCAATAAAGACCCTGCAATTTGGCCTAGTCTTTGTCTCGGTGGTGATTTTGCGCTTGCTTGGATACAACATTTGGAGCCCCCAGCAGAAATTTTCCATCATCACTGAGACAAAATCCCTGGGGTCTTGCCCAAGGGGCCACCCTCACCTCGGGGATCTCTAGGGGAGGCGCCCCCTGAGACGTTCCAGGGCCCCAAAGTTCCGGCCCCGTGGCAGAGGGGCAACTACCTGGCCGACATTCACCCAAAATTCCTCAGGCTCCCGGGAACCTCTGCAGGTAAGTCAGGTCTGGAAATCGGGGGACCGGTCCATCAGGAGCCTAAGTCAGGAGACTGGATGTGGTCGTTAATCTCTGATTAGACAAGCCTACCATGAGACGTCACTGGAGGTTCGGGTAATTCAGTTTTTGGTTGTCTTCCGTAACCTCGCTGTGAGTGCATATATGTGTGGTCCCATGGCCAGTGGGCTATGGGACCTGTGAGGGCCTTCACCTGTGGTTCCACAGAGATGTCATAGGGCATAACGGTGATTCACCTCTGCGGTGACCAGGCCCAGGGTTTATACAAGTACACCCTGGCCAAGACACTCTGAAATATCCCTTCAGGGATGTAGCTGGGCAGGCATCAGATTGGTCTCCACTGGGGGACACCCACCCTGTGTCTGTCTAACTCTCACGTGGTCCTGTCTTTACTGTAGATTCTCTAGTTTTCTGAAGTGCTTATTAACTGATCTGTGGTGGTTTAGGCCTGCCTCACTAAGGCCAGATGATGTTCTCAATGGGTTAAATGATCACTGGTTGCAGGGGACTTTCACTGACTTTTGCCCCTAGAAATAACTTTATTCTCTTTCCTCTTCCTCTTTCACAATTAGGCCCCTCCTTTTCTCCTTTAAATGTCTGGGAGGTGATTCTGCCCCTGGCAACTCAGTTGTAGCTTTTTCTGGAATCTTAAAAGTCAGATTCTAAGGAAGACAAGCAAGAACTGTTTGTCCGCCTAGAGCGGAAAAAAAAAAAAAAAAAGAAAGAAAAAGGAAAAAGAGAGAGAGACCACTGTATATTCTGTCAGAAAGTGGTGAAGTATTGTTATGGGTCGTGCTTCTATCCCCACCTGAACTCTCACTTTTGGCGTCACCCCCAGTGTTGAGAGGCTGGCTGCCACCCACCAGTTAATACTGACTAGAAAAGGTTTTGTGATCTCTATAAGCCATGGTGAATTCAAAATTCACACCCGCTTAATTTGCTGGCCCATTTGTTCGTTTTGTCACTTGCCAACCTTCCCTAAGCCCTTGGACTCCAGGGCACATCTAAGGGCAGACCCTCCCAAAGCGGTTTTTATCTCCTAAAAGCTTACCATTCACTGCTGTGGTCCCACATGGGTGACATCGACCTGCACCCCTGGCTGCTTCCACCCATCTCTTTGCCTTGCGCCAGGGATAGGCCTATCAAGCTTGTTGCCCCCTCCTTACAAGACCTTGCTGCAGAGGCATACTTAAAACCAGTGCTGGAAAGGCAGGCACGAGGACAACGCTTTCCAGGACTGGAAGTACTATAAAAGCAAACAGGTCCGGATAACAACCAGTAGGCTAAGAAAGAAAAAAAAAAAAAAAGACACCAGATGGGATCATTTGGTTCCCCGCCCTGCACCCCACTCCAGGGCATGATGGCCAATTGCAAGGCTGGATTTTCAGGCCAATATGGTGTAAAACTGACCCCGAGAAAACCCCGCACGCTGTGTAAATTGGAGTGGCCATGGTTTGGGGTGGAGTGGCCAGACACCGGGACATATAATCCCAAGGTAACCCAGGCTGTATGGAATGTGGTGACAGGTTCCCCTGGGCACCCACATCAGTTTCCATACATTGACCAGTGGCTAGGCTTAGTTCAACAGCCCCCTTCTTGGCTTAAACGCTGCATAAAGTATGCTGGGTTACAAGTTATGCTGGCAGGCCCTAAGAAAGCCCCTTCGGCGCCAGCTGTACTCCCTTCCACGGCAGAAGATCGAGAATTACCTCCACCATACTCAAGGCCTCCCGAATCTGGGCCTCAGCATCCTCCGCCGGAAAGCACCAGTAACCGATTCTTCTCCCTCCTGCACACCCGCAGCAGAGCTCCACACCCACTGGTGGTCCTTCCTCTCTGAGAGGCACCCCCAATGGGAGAAGACAATTGGGGTCACCCATTCTTTGTTCACATCCCCTTCTCAAGTGACTTATATAACCGGAAGGTGACAGAAATTAAAGAGAAGGCCAAAACACCAGGTGCTGGAACAGGCTTTATTAAGAGCAGGGGAAAAGCTGCCAGGCTGCACCCAAAATTGGCACGCAGCACCCGTGGCATAGCAAAAAAAAAAAAAAATTTTATGGCCTGTAAGCCAGCAAATGCATCTGGTGTGAGGGGGCTGTGCAGGAGGGAAGGGGCTGGGGAACTGATGAGTTTGATAGTTCCCAGGAGGGAGTCATGCTAGGGAACTGCTGAAATAGTTCCCCGGAGGGGGTTGTGCTGGGGAATGGGAAGAAGGCGAGAGGTGGAGGGTTAGGGACCTGCTCAGATGGGAAGTTCCCCGGGGGCCAGGCATGGTGGCTCACACCTGTAATCCAAGCACTCTGGAGGCCAAGACGGGCAAATCATCTGAGGTCAGGAGTTCAAGACCAGCCTGACCCACATGGTGAAACCCCGTCTTTATAAAAAAAAATTTAAAAATTATTAATTAATTAATTAATTTTTTAAAAAAGAAACTTCCCCGGGAGGGGGTCGTGCTGGGAGCCTGGGGAACTTGAGGTGGCAGCGGGGTTTTAACATGAAGTAAGTTCTGTCAGAAGGCTCAATATCCCCTGTTCTCTGAGAAGCCTCGGGCTTTGACAGGGCTCTTGGAATCTGTACTCCAGACTCATGGCCCCACTTGGGATGACTGCCAACAATTATTACTGATTCTGTTCACCACAGAGGGAAGCGGCAGAATGAGACAGGAAGCTCTGAAAGCCCTCGTAGGTCTGGGGGAGAGACAGTAGAAGAGACCCGGGACTGAATTGAAGAGGTTTTTCCCTCTACCCGAACCCGACACCTCAGGGGGTCACCAGGCTCTGAACACTTTACACTGGTACCTTTTAGCAGGGGTTAAGGGGGCTGCTAGGAGGCCCATCAATCTCTCCAAGGTCCGCAGGAGTCGCTGGCTGCTTTCCTGGAACGCCTACAAGAGGTGGATCGTACCTGTACTCCTATAGACCCTGAGGCCCCGGAAAATCAAAGGGCCATTAATTTGGCCTTTGTCTCCCAGTCAGCCCCAGATATCAGGAAAAAGTTACAAAAACTAGATGGGGCCAGGTGTGGTGGCTCACTCCTGTAATGCGAGCACTTTGGAGGCCAAGGCAGGTGGATCACCTGAGGTCAAGAGTTCAAGACCAGCCTGACCAACGTGGTGAAACCCCATCTCAAAACGAAACAAAACGAAACAAACAAACAAACAAAAAACACCTAGATGGATTCCAGGGAATGAATTTGACCCAATTGCTGGAAATTGCCCAGACGGTTTTTGATAACAAGGATACTCCTGGAGCTATACAAGACAAAAAAGTTACTAAGGCAGTAAAAGCAGCCCTTCAGGAAACGAGTCATTCCACAAGAGCAGGGGGCCTTGCAAAAGGGCCCCCGGGGCCCCCAGCCCCCATTAGAGAGAAATCAAT